GAGGGGAAGCCCTCCTGAGGACCGTCATCAGACGACTCGGAAAGACTAGCGTCTATATCCGAGCAACCAGGTGAAAGATGAACAACATCATCGTCCTCTGCCATACCCGCGCCCTCAACGTCCATAGCCTCCACACCATCCAGACCAAAAGCCTCGGGCTGAGGAATTGGGCCAGCCAATGGGGCCAACCCGAGAGAAGGCTCCCCGTACCGGCGTTTAGGTGCAGTGCGCCTAACGGCCGTGGCTGTAGGTTTAGGCTTAGTAGCCAAAACCCTACCCTTGGACCCAGAGACCAACGAGCCTGCCCGAGAGGCAGAAGTCCTAAAGGTCCGACACACCTTCTTAGGACCGGCCGATAAGGCCCCCGAAGTAGCAGAAAGTTGGGGGGGGTCAACAGAACTGCTAACACGTCTCCGCGAGGGAGAGACCAAACCCCAAGGATTCCATGACGGAAATGCCATGGGGTTAAACCCATATCCCGGAGGATAGGGGAAAGGTCCCGCGGGCTGGGAGTGACCCCAGAACTGGCCAAACTGGCCTGCCTGAGACTGGGGCTGGCCAACTTGCCCAAAGGGCGAAGGTGGACCGCCACTCCCTCCAGGTGGAAACCCGGACATGTACGGGCTAAGCCCGTAACTGCCGGGATGCTGCCGCAACCCAAAACCATCCGCAGGCTGGTAAGGGCGGCCCAAGGATGGTTGCCCGCAGGCACCCGTATACCCTAAGCCAGGGGAAAACGGAGGCCGGAAACCGGCCCCCTGTCCAGCAAACCCAACCCCTGGGGGGAAACCCCCCAGGTTCCCAGAAGAATGAAACTCGGGACCGGACCTAATAGGACCGGGTCCGGGTAACTGACCGGGAGGGTATGCCTGACCAGCATTGATGCCGGGATTAGTGAGCTGCGCGTCACTAATCCCGGTAGACACAGACAATCCCGAAAGAAAGTCTGTTGTCACACCAGGACCTGAACCCGAAAGAACAGGCCCGGCACCAAGACTGTCCCCAACGACAGCACCACCTGGAATGCCGGGATCACTGACAGAGTCAGTGACCGGCGGCCGGTAGTCCCTACCCGAAGGCAAGCGCGAAAGCTTACGGGCGTTCCCGGCCAATTCGACCCTTGGCTGTGCCAAGCCAGGGTCAGGCTGCCCCTCCCCTACTCCAGGGAGTTCCTGGACAGGAAGGGCCACCCCCTGCTCACGAGAGGGACTTGCCGAAGCAAGACCCCCCGAGACAGGAACAGAGACAGTACCACCAGACCCCAGAGAGCTGGTGGCACGACCCCTACCTCTCTGCTTCCCTCGCTTACCGGAAGAAACAGACGAATCTGTCTTACGGTAAGTTGAGGGTAGCTTTGGAACAATGAAGTCCTTGTCCTGAGATTTAGTCTGTGAACAAAGTTCACAAGGCGAAACCTCACTGCAAGGACGACACCTGGGACAAGCATCATGAGGGTCCCGTTCCACAAAGAAATGGGAACACCCATGAGCTCTACCTCGTCGCTGTCCCGACCGAGACATACCCTCCAATTTCACCCGTTATATAAATCAGAAAACGGTTAAAATAAATAACGTTTGCCGAAACAAACAACCGTCACCGAAATAAACAGAGGTCGGAAATTAACCCACGATAATGGCGGACCGTGTCACACCACCGGCACACGAGGAGTAAAATAACCGGCCGTAAAAGGCACAAAAATAATTTTCAACAATAATTAATTATATTAACAAGGGCAGATGGGTACACACATACTGCGCAAAAAAAATTAAACAACATTAAACCAAACCAAACCAATCAACAGAATTACTTTATAAGATAGTTATTACATTTTTCCCTGAACACATTCTTAATATTCGAAGGACCTAAGCGTTTTTCATGTCAAATTATTTAAGTTTTACCTGATTTATTACCAAGATATAGGATTTACATCTATTCCTCTATAATCGTTGTCTCCTTGGCTCAAGTACGCTTCGCACAAGTTTTGTTTCAAATCCTTAAATCTGTAATCAAGAAAAAGGATTTTATATCTTTTCCCTGTCTTTCCATGGCCTGGCCTCCTACCCCTTGATGGTTTACGCCCTTTATTAATAAATACATTGTTTGTTGATTTCCCATGGCCATAACATTTTTCGTTCACTAACTATTATGTACAGTGTCTTGATGCAGTATAAAACACTAACTCTCATGTAGAGTATTAATACAGCAGAAATACCATGTCAAATATGTCAATACAGCACATTTCGCGTACATTGCGTCAATTCATGTAATTCTAGTTTAATACGATATTTTGCTTCATGCGAGAGATGAAAATACCACAATTGATTTAACGCTAGAGATATTAGACACAGATATCCTTATTTCAGTTTGATGAGCTGTAGTTTTTGGACGTTCAGGAGGATGGGGATACCGGATCCAACACCTCTACCAATCGTCGGCAATATGGTGGCCATGTTGTCGGAGGTAAATACACCAGGCAAAGATTTAACTTCACTTTTTAAATAAAGGAACTGCTCTGACTACCTTGAAATATGGATCTGCTCTTCTAGGATTTTAATCACATTCAAATTTCCTTTTGATCTAGTGTAACAGGATTTTGTTTTTTAATTTAACGAATTATGGCCAGTTTGAAAAGGAAACATGTATCTGAAATATTGTCAAAATACAAGACACATGTTCATATTGCTTAAGGACCTTTTTCAATTTTTTAATTACCAGTTCGGCAGCCGTTTTGAATATTCTCAGAAAACGTGTGTTTGTTGCCAGCGTTTAACCTTTTTCAAGACTAGAGTCATCACTGAAAAAGTCATAATGTCACCTGTTTTAACTGTTGCTAGTGATTTTTGCTTTACACGTTAAAACCGTTCAGAAAATAATACGTTTCAAAGGGGAAAATTGTAAAGTTTTGGTATTTTAAAACATCTATCAACTAAAAGCCTTTAGTTTTTCCCCTGAAAAAGTTGCAAAATAACAATATAATAAAGCAAAACACAAGCCACGGATCCCCAATACTCGAGAAAAAAACCGCGTATTCTTTCAATGTAGCGAATATTTGATCATAAAGGTCATCGAGACATTTTATATTCATTGTTAACCAGCACAATAAGGTTGTTTGAAAAATAAACATGTGTTTTGTAAACACTGTATGTGACGTCATTAGCCTGGAATGTCTACCCATAGTATTATAACATTAACACCTTATTGATTAGTACATCAACATTAAAACAATTTATGATTGGAATGTGTATTTATAGTTTTAAAATAAACAACTTATTGATACGTACGTGAACATTAAAACAATTTGTGATTGGAATGTGTACTTATAGTGTTTAAATAAACAACTTATTGATAAGTACGTGAACATTAAAAACTAGAACTGTGGCCTATGGGCTTACTAAAATCCCCCGCATTTCGACTGCTTGCTGCCCCTGTAGGGGCTAAATAAACATGGAAAAAAATATAAAGAAAGATCAAGGGTCATGACAAAGTCTTATCTAAGATGTCGTGTCGACAGACCGAATGAAAAGACAAATACCACTACTGTGACCTTTGACTCAATGAACTCGGAATTTCGTCACAATGTAGCTTGCATCAATGCTACATTTACTCAGAGGTATGTATATACAAAATACCAACCATTTCTGTCATAAGTAGCAATTTCAGTAACATAATGCATCTGTGACCTTTGACCTCATAACCTTTGAAGTTTGTCATTATATAGCCTGCATAATTGACTACGATACTCTTATGTATATGTATATACAAAATACCAACTGTTTCCGAGATAATTAGCCATTTCGGTAACGTAATTCATTCGTGACCTTTGACCTCCAAACTCACGACCTCGGAGGTTGTAAGTAGAGTAGATTGCATAAATGCCTACAATATTTTAATGTAATATGTGTATACAAAATACCTTCGTTTCCAAGATATTAAGCCACTGCAGTAACGTAATTCATTCGTGGCCTTTGACCTTTTAAAACGCGGAAATTTGCAACCTGACAAAAAACCCGTTATGCATGTGTAACATTATTGCTTCTAGTATTACTATACTTAATTGGGACGGAATTGAATAAAACATAAACAAGTTCGTGGGTTTTCTATACAATGTTATGGTCTAAAGAAGTTTATAAACCGACGGCCAAAACTTCGTGAAAAGAGGAGATAACCCAATGCAAAGTACTTTACGCACATCTCCAAACTGCAAGGATCGTTTCATCCAGTAGTTTAGGAGGAGTACACGCCAATACATTGCGTCCACAGACGAACGGACGGACAACCTGATTTCAGTATACCCCCTAACTTCGTTGCGGAGGGGTTATACAAATTATGATTGGGATGTGTACTAATAATGTATAACATGAACAACTTATTGATTAGAACATCAATATTAAACAATATATGACTGGAATGTGTACCTATATTGCTATAACATAAACACCTTATTGATTAGTACATCAACATTAAAACAATTTATGACTGGAATGTGTACTTATACTGTTCCTTTATTTACTATCCACTGTGTATATTCTTAGCCTCAGACTTGTATTGTTTTGACATCTTTTTAATGATGGGATTGAACTTGTGACAGTGACATATATCTATGTAACGCTTCTGTGTTTTATCACTAGCAAAGTCATACATATACTATTCCGTTAATCACCACGTATGTCGCATATTGTTAACATACTTTTGTTTTTGTCGGTGATTTCTTCCATCATAAACAATACCGTATATTTTTCAAAGCATATCGATAATAGTTATTTATATTAAGACCGTTTTTTGTTAAGCATACTTTAAAAAATCATATAAGATGTCTTGCTCTGCTTGTATCTTAATGTTATTTTTTTACAGGGTCTCCGCGCTTTTGATCGGAATGCAATTCAGAAATATGGGAAAGTGTTTGGGTAGGTAATTGGTTAAAAGAATAAAACATACCTGTTTAAATATTTAATTGGTTTGAAAAGTAAAACATAACTGTTATAGTATTTACGTTTCGACAGGAGATTTTATATTTTGTTGATGTTGGTATATCTTGTTTCTATTTTATTTTGAAGACATTTCGACGTTCTTTCTACGAATTTAGTGGTAGCAGATAAAGAGATGTTGAGGGAAATACTGGTGAAGCAGTTTAACAACTTCCCAGATAGAAGGGTATGCATCGTTTGCGACGAGGTTAATTATATAGATGTTAAAATCTGTAGACAATTAAAAAGGATGGCAAACTACTGCATAAATATTTGTTAGTTGATATAAATCAGTTTTATAAAACGATGATAAAGAGATCAAACCTGACCACAGCTGTGAGTAAATTATCCATTTGAGGCTTAACGAAGACAGACTTGATCAGGTTTCGCGTAAATATCTTCTACCTCCTTTCCTAAACATTTAGAACAGTTTTATACAGAAAATAAATTAAGACCTCAAAAAACGTATACAAAATGTAAGACAAACAAATGTACATACTATTTATTCAAACATTCTGTTATCAAAAACATTTTTGTTACATCTGCATTTTAAGTACGTAAATGTATCTTTATTGAAAATTATTAACAATCATATTTTTACGCTATTCATATTTTAGACTATTATTATAAGTATGTAAGTGTTCCATTTAAACTAAGGGTAGTTTATCTGTTTTCCCTTTGACAAATTCGAACGTGAATATTGAACTAGCCTGTCTCCAACTCAAACACTATATGATAGGCCTTCGTGTCCACTAAATATGTGCAGGATTGTGAAGTCCTATCTGACAGCGATTTTCGAGTCTTTGTATGTCCTTAACTCCGCATTGCTAGATTCAGGCTTAATAAAGCTTCGTTAAACATCGTGTATTTTAAAGGAACGACACTTAACCATCTCTGTACTCCAGTTGTGTTCAGTGTATCATTGTACGCAAAAGGTTATTTAGTGGAACTTATAATCTTCACGTCCTATTAACAATTCAAACGCGCAAGAAAATCATATGTATTACATGTATTAAGTGAATTAGCAAAAGCAGAATATACATGGGTCAGTTTTATTGAATATGAGATCATCGAGCATACAAAGACACTAAATTGACCTATGTGATGACTTTGATCATGTGTACACGTATTTGATATTTATATATATTTAGTAGATCTAAGATGTGCAACATATCATAGGTTCAATATCAATAAAGAAAATCCCTCCCGTCACATTATGATAGCACGATAAATATTAACATCAAAGTCATTATAAATGAATCAAGTTATTAGATTGAACTGATTTTAAATAAGCAAGATAATGGTACTTTACGCAAACATTTCTATAAACAGGATATATTAAATTATCAACAACAAAATTAGTACTTCATCAATAAAAAACGTTTGTTATCATGCAAAAAGCTTGATTTCGTTTGTGTAAAAAGGTGACTGATGACAATCGTTCGTTTCTGTAATAAATGAGTTAACAATGATATAAAAGAATGAAATACATTCACAAGGGTTCATGTTTTTCTTCACTAGTTTGAATTTTCGATATTGCAGAACAAAAATAAATTACCTTATTGGTATAATATTTACTCGTGTTACACCTCGATATCTTTTCCAACATTATGACAGGGCAATTACATTTTGCTCATGACGAACGCATGCATTGATATATTTCTATTTAAAGACAGTTGATGGATTCGCAGGAGATCTAGAGCATGGTCTGGTTAATGTCAAAGGATCCCACTGGAAACACAATAGAAGAATTATTACCCCGACATTTTCATCTGGAAAACTTCGTCAGGTAGTCTTATAACAACAACACTAGTGCAATGTATTCGACTTCGTCTTAATACTTAACCAATGTTACTTTCCATTTTAACTGATTTATTACGCCTCTGCCACCTTAGCATGAAACACGTTTTCTTTTTTATATAGATGATGCCATTGATTCAGGAAGCGTGCGACACCCTAGTAAAAACATCACAGAATCTCATGGAGAGTGGGGACGATGGTCAAGTGGAAATGAGAAGGTAACTTTATTGTTTCTTAGGACAACATATAAACCGTGTCATCAACACACAAATACAACATATATACCACTTCGTCAACACACAAATACAACATAAACCACATCGTCAACACACATATACAACATAAACCACATCGTCAGCACACATATACAACATGTACCACATCGTTAACACACAAATACAACATACAGGTATACCACATGGCCGATAAAGTACACCAGTGGCAAAATGTACTCGTCAATATACAACCTAAGGACAAAATATAACAAATCATTTATATATCAGAGCGAGCAACAGCTACCGGTATAACATACGTTAAAGCATGTGACCTTTCTTCATCACATGTTTGGCGAACTTCATGCTGTTTGCTATGTGTGCGCTTACTGCTGGAACGTTAAAATCAAACGAGACTGCATTAATGCAGAAAGCCAATTAAAGAGTTCTCAAATCTTTGAAAAACCAAGAAATTGAGCGTTCATCTGGCCATCATAACGACAGATTTAGAAAGATGCGGTTAATCAATATGAATATGTTAAAGTAATCTGTCTATCCCTCAGTACAGTGTACGTAACAGTATCTGTGTTTATGTCCGACGACAATATACAAATAACAATGGGCACCTGTATGCGTTGCCTCTCTCTTAAAATCGGCAGTGAAATCGGCAGCGGCAATTGCGAAAACTTTTATTGAAAAAATAAAGTGGTTTGCCGCTTTTCCACAAGAAACAGCACAAATTGCACGCCAGACTAAAGCTAGCCCGTTATCAACATATTTGTTAACTGCTTGTTATACAAGAAGTTGTTGCATTTTGTTCTCTGATTATCAAAAGGAAAAAGAAAACTATTCAATCGCGAACACTTATCTTTTTCCGTGGTATGGAGAGCAACAAGACGAATACACCCATTAGTCGAAGAAAATATATTTCCTCCTTATATTTGCCTTAAAAAACAAAAATGAAAATGATATACATTTTTCTTGATGGTTTGTTTTTGCTCATGAGTCAATATAAACAAACGGTTTCTTTTATCTGGCGACAGACGTTATAAAAAACTAATCGGAATTTTTCTTCGAAGTTTGAATATGACCTCACAGCATCATTTGACACCAGCTATATCAATAGCACTCATTAGCAATATGATGGAAAGACCATAACATTCTCAAATTAGAATGGATTTATATATGTGCTTTTCGTTTAATTGTTTTTAGCTCACCTGGCCCGAAGGGCCATGTCCGTCGTCCGTCCGTCAACTTTTTCTTTTGAACGACTGCTTCTGATGAACTGTAGGACCTAGGGTCATGATATTTGGTCATTAGGTACCTGGGATGGAGTGCTATAAAGTTTCCTCATTAAAATGACCTTGACCTACTTTCAAGGTCACAGCGGTCAAATATGTTAAAAATGTCAAACAACAATATCCTAAGAACCATTTGAACTAGAGTCATGATACTTGGATATGTTATGTAGACCAGCAGTGCGAATATTTTTCTCAATTACAATAATGAGGTCAAAGGTTGTTAAATGCTAGTCGGAGGTCAAATGTCAACTTTGGTTTAAATCTTTAACAGTCTTCTCCTCAAGTTCCATGAGGCCCTGGGTCATGATATTTGGTCAGTAGGTACCTGGGATGGAGTGCTACATTATGTATCAAGTATTCTCATTAAAATGACCTTGACCTACTTTCAAGGTCACAGCGGTCAAATATGTTAAAAATTTCAAACAACAATATCCTAAGAACCATTTCAACTAGAGTCATGATACTTGAGTATGTTATGTAGACCAGCAGTGCGAATATTTTTCTTAATTACAATAATGAGGTCAAAGGTCAACTTCAAATGCTAGTTGGGGGTCAAATGTCAACTTGGGTTAAAAGCTTTAACAATCTTCTTCTCAAGTTCCATAAGGCCCTGGGTCATGATATTTGGCCAGTAGGTACCTGGGAGGGAGTGCTAAAAATTTCCTCATTAAAATGACATTGACATACTTTAAAGGTCACAGCGGTTAAATATGTTAAAAATTTCAAACAACAATATTCTAAGAACCATTTCAACTAGAGTCATGATACTTGGGTATGTTATGTAGACTAGCAGTGCAAATATTTTTTTCAATTACAGTTATAAGGTCAAAGGTCAACTTTAAATACTAGTGGGGGGTCAAATGTCAACTTTGGTTAAAAGCTTTAACAATCTCCTTCTCAAGTTCCATTAGGCCCAGGGTCATGATATTTAGCCAGTAGGTACCTGGGATGAAGTGCTATAAAGTTTCCTCATTAAAATTACCTTGACCTATTTTCAAGGTCACAGGGGTCAAATATGTTTAAAACAATATCCTAAGAACCATTTGGACTAGTCATGATACTTAGGTATGTTATGTAGACCAGCTGTGTGAATTGTTTTCTTCATTACAGTAATGAGGTCAAAGGTCAACTTTAAGTGCAAATCGGGATTCAAAGGTCAATATGGGTAAAAAGCTTTAAAATTAAAATTTTAAGTTTCAAACAACAATATCTTCAGAACCGTTTAAGAGATGTTAAAATGTCTTGTGTTCTAGTTACCAAATTTGGTCTTAAGTTACCTATATGTCAGTTGCATGTAACAAAAGAAACAGGTGAGCGATACAGGCCCTCTGGGCCTCTTGTTAGTTTTGTAATTTGAAAGGATGTACATAAAGTATGTAAACATTGCATAGTATTGAAGAAATAATCAACGTGTGCTCGTGTATTATAGAGGACTATATAACGAGGATGAGTTAATGTTGGGGAAAAACGTTTTTCAAAGGCCGCTGTTTTGATTATTTTTCAAACATGTTCGCATCCCGAGTACAATTCCGCGATTATGTCAAAACATCGGTTAATTATATTTATTCTACCATGTCAAATGTAACTAAATTCTTTGTTCGTGTCTACCTCAGTGTCCATATGCTTTTACTATGCTAGCTGAGCTAGCTAGCTAATTACTTAAATAAGGCTGCTCTGATGCCGGTGCTGATACTTTTCACGTGGTGCCTATATGTCTTCATTGCACAACAGACTGCGCGTTTTTATCATTTTTTGACTCTGTTCAGTAATCCAATTTTGTCTAATAAACATATTTAGGAAGATTTTATTTTTTTCATTTTCAGTCGCCATTCGATAAACAATAAACACTAACGTAATGCTTTATGCTTTTTTGAAAAAATATATTCAATCAATCAAATCCACCAATCTATCGACATCGCTCGTCAACATATAAATTCAGCATTTGACGGAAACACAAGCACTATTTCATTTCACCTTCGCGATAAGTTCAGCGACACCACCTGACCATTAGTTTTACAGGTTTTAAGTTGATTTAGAGGTAAAATAGATTTTTTTGTTTGTCCGCTAGCAAATCTTCAAAAGCATACACTATTAAATGCGAGTACCTTCATTCGACAAATGAAACAAGTTCTGTTGAAAAAGACACGCATGCGCATGGCGTATCATCCAATAATCCATGGTTATTAACCAATGAAAACTATAACATCGCAAAAGTGGTAAAGTTAAGGAATGCGATATAACTGCGTTCTTCCTTACTACAGGTTATTTGGAGGATACACAATGGATGGGATTAGTTCCACAGCTTTCGGTATCCACGTGGATTCTCAGAGTAATCAGGATGACCTCTTTGTAATGCATGCTAAGAAGATGTTTGACATTTCATTCACCAAACCTTGGATGCTCGTTGTATGTACGTATAAATCTATTTTAACTAACTGATGTATCATGCATTCTTCCTCTCCAACTCCTCGAACTATCGTATATTTTTCTTTCCACACTCCCCGACGTATTATGCATTCTTGCTTTCCTGCTCCTTGAACTATCATACATTCTTCATCCTCACTCAAAGGCCTTCCTTATTCCTTCTCTCCCGCTCCTCAACCTGTCCTGTATTCGTCCCTCCAGTTCTTCAAACTATCATACATTCGTCCTTTCCAACCGTTCAACATTCCCTGTATTTTTCCTCTCAAAGTCATACATTCGTCCTTTCCCACGCCACGACCTGTCCTGTTTTCTTCCTCGTAAAGTCATGCATTATTCCCTTCTCACGCCACGACTTATCCTTTATTCTTCCTCTCCCATTCCACGATACATACATGATTCTTTTCTAGCTCTTCGACCTTTCCTGTTTTTCTTCCTCTCCAATATCTCTATCATTCATACATTCTACTTCCCCGCTACACGACCTATCTTTTATTCCTACTCTCCATATCCTCGATGTACATGTATCATGCATTCTTCATCTCCAACTCCTTGAACTATTATATATTCTTCATCCTCATTCTACGACCTGTCCTTACGTTTTCCTCTCCCACTCCTCGACCTTTCCTTCATTCTTCCTTTCCCGCCCTCGACCTATCCTGTATTCTTCCTCTCCGATTCCTCAAATTATCATACATTCGGCCTTTCCACTTTCCAACTCCTCAAAATATGTACCAAAACGTTTGTCTTTTCTTTGATTTTTGACTTTGCTGACGGACTTACAACAAAGGATTTCCGACGATACAGGTTGATGAAGATTATGGAATATATCTTGGTCGCACTCTGGATCTCTCTGGGAAATCTGTTATTTATTTGTGTGATACGAGAATAGTGAACATTGTGATTCTGCTCATTAGATTGCCTTGCGGTTTTGTTGTTACTACCTACTTTCTCGATGTGAGGACGTGACAGTCCTATTTTACATGGCAGGTGAAATGGATCCAACAACATACGCTGACCCTTCCGGTACACCTTGTCTTATTCTTTTAGTATTTGTTCGATGGTCTTCATGTGAATACTTTCTTTGTTTATATTTTGGCCTAGTTTTATTGATTTTAAGTTTCATTATAGCTTTGTTGACAACTCGGTATTTTCTTGTTCTCTTTTGTTTCCTATCTTTATATAAAGGAGAGTTTATGTATTTTTGGTTACTTTTTGTAGTACAATTAAAATATGAATGCAATTTGTTTTTATTCCCTGTGATTTTGACTTCATTTTCATTGTGACGTTTATAACAGAATGTATATGGTCACCGGCTGGTATTAGCATGTACCACACGATAGTTTTTCAATGTAAAAGCAATCACTTATTTGTCGATGTTATTGTATTTATAAAGCGGCAATCCTAATGAAAAAATATAAGGACTGGGGCGTAATGTTTTATATCTTCATCCTTTTGCAGTGTTTTGTCAGGCGTTAAAGCCTCTATTACTGAAAATTGGGGTATGTAAGTCCCACATGATAGTATGGCATACTTTCGCACACTAACTATTCATCTACTGGAAGAAAGACGGAAACAAAAGGAGGTAGGATACAGAACATAAACTTAATTTGTTTTACAGCGATTAAGAAACAAGTTATTTAATTTATATTAATCACTCTTGTTGGCCCAAAAGTAAGCATGCAGAGGGTCTTAATGTGGGAGAAAACCCACGTGGTCGGGCATGTGACCCGGTACGTTTTCACGTCCAATCGGGGAATCGATCCCGACCACCTGACCACCTGACCACCCTAGGTGATGATAAGGTGACTTATAAGTATATGATTTAAAATAATGATAAAAAGCGGTTTTCGAAGTTGCATCAGCCAGCATGTTACCTGAATAACTTAATGATATTTTACTTCCAAGTATATGGCATTACATGGAACTAACATTTAGGAATACTTTAGTCGCGTAGGTTATTGAGGTAAATGGAAAAGCTACTTCCTGTGTTGTAGACATTACACTTTTTTTCACTATTCAGCAACTCAGAGTGTATGTCATAAACGTTCACGGTAAGACTGTCTTGTGAGTATTTCTCAACTGATTAGGCTGACAATTTTGCGTTTATCATCACAACTTATTCTACTGTGAAATTGTATGATTTCTACTTGGAAGGATTTTGATTGGTGTAGGTAGATTGTGATACTTTATTACTATCGTTATATGTTAGCCTTGATTGTATACTAATAGTGATGTAGGTAGATTGTAGCACTGTATTACTACTGTTATAGGTTTGCCTTGATTGTATACGAATATTGTTGTAGGTACATGAATTATAAATACTGTTATATACTTGCCATGATCGTATACGAATACTGCTGTAGGTAAATCGTAATACTTATATGGTATCCCTAATCGTATACGAATTCTGCTGTAGGCAGTTTTACTACTGTTATAGGTTAGCCTTGATCGTATACGAATACTGATGTAGGTAGTATTACTACTGTTATAGGTTAGCCGTGATCGTTTACGAATGCTGATGTAGGTAGTATTACTACTGTTATAGGTTAGCCGTGATCGTATACGAATATTGCTATAGGTAGTACTACTACCGTTATAGGTTAGCCTTGATCGTATACGAATTCTGCTGTAGGTAGCGTTTCTACTGTTATAGGTTAGCCTTGATCGTATACGAATTCTGCTGAAGGTAGTATTACTACTGTTATAGGTTAGCCTTGATCGTATAAGAATTCTGCTGTAGGTAGTATTACTACTGTTATAGATTAGCCGTGATCGTATACGAATACTGATGGAGGTAGTATTACTACTGTTATAGGTTAGCCTTGATCGGATACGAATACTGATGGAGGTAGTATTCCTTCTGTTATAGGTTAGCCTTGATAGTATACGAATACTGATGGAGGGAGTATTACTACTGTTATAGGTTATCCTTGATCGTATACGAATACTGCTATAGGTAGTACTTCTATCTTTATAGGTTAGCCTTGCTCGTATACGAATACTGATGGGGGTAGTATTACTACTGTTATAGATTAGCCGTGCTCGTATACGAATACTGATGGAGGTAGGATTACTACTGTTATAGGTTAGCCTTGATCGTATACGAATACTGATAGAGGTAGTATTACTACTGTTATATGTTAGCCTTGATCGTATACGAATACTGATGGAGGTAGTATTACTTCTGTTATAGGTTAGCCTTGATCGTATACGCATTCTGATGTAGGTAGTATTACTACTATTATAGGTTAGCCGTGATCGTATACGAATACTGCTATAGGTAGTACTACTATCTTTATAGGTTAGCCTTGATCGTATACGAATACTGATGTAGGTAGCATTTCTACTGTTATAGACTAGCCTTGATCTTATACGTTTACTGCTGTTGGTAGACCGTAAAACGTTTCTACTACTGTTAGGGAAGTTGCCTTGATTGTATACGAATACTGCTGTAGGTAGATCGTAATAAATAATTATTTCTGTTAAGGGGTTTGCTTTTATTGTATATGAATACTACTGCAGGTACTTCCTCCAACTGATGATCGATGCACAGGAAGGTAAATTAAAACTGGATGATGATGAGGAGGATTCTAAAGAACAGAACAATTGGTCTTCTGAAGGTCATCAAGGTAATTAGAATGAACAGTCCTTGTTTATAAGACATATCGAGAATAATTTCAATGAATGCACATTTTCTTCTCATTGCAAAGAACGTATGCCACATGACGCATGTTACGTTATACAATTATTGATTTTTGTGCTGGTGAATATGATGTGATATGAACCTGAAGAAGGGAAATTGATTGAGGCGAAGCCTGTTTATCATTGATAACTTATGGGAATTTCAGGACATATATAAATATGTGGAACATCTATTGTGATTTCAGTGTTGATGTTTAAAGTAAATACATCTGTATTTAAGGCCTTACATTTGATGAAATCCTGGGAAATGCAAAATTGTTCTTTGTTGCGGGCTACGAAACGACGGCTTTGACACCCACCATGAATGCATACAACCTCGCTACGAACCCAGAGTGTCAGGAAAGGCTACGTCAGGAAATTGAGGAAAAATTAGGGTCGGTATGTACATAAAAATAGACCACTTAAGAAAAATAGGAACTGCATTTTTACTATAGATTGGACTTTAAATGCCATACATCACGAGACACACGTCGAAGCGTATTTATTCAACACACACAGGAACTACAATACCCAATGTTAACAAACATGACGGATGCTGTAATATCGCTGAGCATTGTGAGATTTGACAATGTATGTGTGAAAAGAATGGAGATTAAAAAAAAATAAAAAAAATTATTACGACAAAAAAAGACAGGTGTGGAATATCGTACAAAATGCAAATCGGTTGAACTACCCAATGAAAACAATTTAAACACTTATCCAATATTATCAGAAATACCGTCTGTTACACTGCACTGATCTTATCATGACAGAATCAAACGATTTCCAACTTTTTACTAGGATTTACTCGGTGATGAATTAACATCTAGCGGGTTTGAAACTTTAATAAATACAATAACAAATGTATTGAGTTGGTGAACATATATTTTGATACAATACATTGACACGAATGAAAGTTCATCAAAAATCGTACAATGTTTGAATTATCAAAAATTTGAGACAAGGCATATCAGGTTTATGTCTAACCACAAAAACGAATCCTCACTCCGGTCATATAACAGGACCGTTTCAATATCACACAAGGAAGCAATGAGTGGCGCACTTCCTTTTTATACTCATCCTGAGTTACAATCAGCTGTTGTTCTACGCTCTGTCGCAAGATCACACACTTCAAACGGTATCACGCGTTGAACAGCCACGGTTTCCTCAGGTTCTGACGACATGTCAAATAACGAGTCTGTTGTAGCATCTACCAACTGTAGCAAGGTTTACATGCAATAAAAAAAATCACACCTGGTTTCATCGCAAATTCGAACTTTCATCACTGCTCAATCGACTTCTAAAAATAACTCCCTCGTGTCTATGGAAGGGGATCACCGCCATAAATATTTTTTATATAATTAGTTACTTCTGGTTTTGAATCTCATTCTTTGTACATTTGTATTATTTCCCTAGTTGATAAGTTATAGAATTAGTTCCTTCTGGTTTTGAATCTCATTCTATGTACATAGAATGAGATTCAAAACCAGAAGGAACTAATTCTATAACTTATCAACTAGGGAAATAATACAAATGTAGAAAGAATGAGATTCAAAACCAGAAGTAACTAATTCTGGTTTTGAATCTCATTCTATGTACATTTGTATTATTTCCCTAGTTGATAAGTTTTTAGAATTAGTTACGTTCATTTGTATTAATTCCCTAGTTGATAAGTGTCTTTTTTCCATTCTATGTGCATTTGTGTTGTTGCACTCGTTTACAAATCTATTGCGTGTTCATTCCATACTATGCTAGTTTTCTTTCCATGCTATACTAGTTTTACCGATCGCGATTTCGTGTTAGCTTTTAGTATTCAATCAATTCCAGACTTACGTGATGTATATACTCAGTACATTCTAGCGGTTGATCTGAAGCTTTCGTCATTCTTGTAAAAACAGAATTTCGAAACTAACTTTTAATTCAGAAATAGCTAGCTAGTCAACTAGTAAACGAGTAAGCCAACAGTTGAAATACGAGAGGTTTCCTTATTATGACGACAAGCGGCGCTGCGATAGTCTTAAATATACACGGACCGCTCCCCAACCGCATCCGGATCACCGCAAGGACGCAATGTCGTTATTTGTTTACGTTTTGAGTATTGTATTTTTAAGGTTCTTATATTCATTACTGCATAAATTAAATAAATGTTCAAGAACATATTAATGACGCCGTCAATATTGATGTAGACTGGGACAGTGCGAGAAACATTTTAAGGGCCTGCACAAGAAGAACAATTAGATTAGACTTGCTCAAGTCCAGAAAAATAATCACATAAACTAAATGCAAGTCTTATCTCGACAGAGCGTAGAGCTTTTCTTCCCCACTCCAATAAAAACAATAAACAAAAGGAATTGTATCATAAGATAATGTATTCATACATCTATGTAGGTTAAATGTTGCAGTAACTTAACAGTCTCTTGCCCCCTATGACAATCTCATCCCACCACCATCCCAATTACAATTAATTCTTTATCACCTGTACTGTGCACGTCTTATTCTTATATATACATTTTAGCTTAAGTTTGGAGAATTTTGAAGTGGCTTTTGAGGCAAGATTACCAAAGGTCAAAGATAAGAGAAGAATATGAACCAACTTCCTCCACCTAACAAGTTATTTTTAGTGTCAATCAGAGTAAACCATTATGTGTTTTTGTCCATACCAATGAAACAGGCGTTTTTGATAAGAATGTTCAATTGAAACAAAATCATACATACTTTCAAACCCAACAAAAACGTGCTGTCATCAATATCCACTGCTTCATAGACAAGTCCATAGCAGATGTCCATGTAAAAATTTAGTAAATTCACAGACTTAATTTTATGGTAAAGTATACAATTGTGAATGGTTATATATTTCTAACAGAATAATTCAAATCAAATAAATAACCTTTAATTGCTCTAATATAATGACAAATATATTTAGTTTGCAACACTGAACATTTTTTAAAAGTTACTATCTATTTACAATTACCCAAATATGCAATTCCCTTTTAAGGTTAAAGTTTATTTATGTGGCAGGGTCTCAATTGTACATAGGATTAAGGTCGCCTTCTAGCTTCGAGCTAGAGCGAATTTTCCGTTAGCTCAGTGGTAAAGAGTCCGACTAGGAACCTGGAGATCGAGGGTTCGAGCCCCGGTGGAAGCACACTATTATCTTTCTTGTTACAAATGGTGTCCGTGGCCCTTCCTGTAGTGACAGGGAGTTAGAACATGGGTTGTGGTGTTCGAGGGCGAACACATTTAAAAAGGTGGGAGTAGTGTGGCAGGGTTCAATTGTACATAGGATTAAGGTCGCCTCCTAGCTTCCGAGCTAGAGGGAATTTCCCTTTAGCTCAGTGGTAGAGCGTCTGACTAGGAACCTGGTGATCAAGGGTTCGATCCCCGGTGAAAGCACACTATTCTCTTTCCTGTTACATTTATATTTAAAATAAAAGAAAGGCACAGAAGTGTTTAATGAAAGGTCAGCTTAAGCATCCTCACCATGCATGCATGCATTCAGTAGAGCAACCCTACCTGCATCATTAATTGAAGTTTTACCCATATAATAGTTTTTGTTACTGAGATATGGACTTAAACAACTTTTCCTAAAGTGCACTTGACGTACAATGTAGAAGGAAGTCACTCAAGTCTATGCATGTATTACCTAGATGTACCCATAAATGGACCCAACACTTTTTCTTAATGGAAATGGAGGGCAAGACCGAATCCATTAATTCATCCTCTGCAAACTTCGTTGAGTAGGGGCTGGGAATAATAAATGTTACTTGTGAGCAGAGACGTATACGTTTCTAGGCAAACATACAAAGATGAAGATAAATAACAACATACATATTTACATCAGTGAACGATTTAATTTCATAAAAAAATATCAATATGCATAAAAGTTAACAGAACATTCACTACGACAAAGTTATCAACAAGTATGCTGTCATATATTTGATGGAACACTTTTTTTGTTTTTTTTGTTTTTAAACAAAGCAATGCAAAGGAATACTGAATAAAATATAATCATCATGAAATATCATGACTCAAGACCAGTTTTTAAGAAACTGATGCCTGTTTTTGACACCTTCCACTGTGACCTTGAAAGGAGGTCAATGTAATCTACACGATGAAACTTTAAAGTATTTATCCCAGGTACTTGCTGACCAAATATAACGGCCCTGAGCTTTTCAATTTAAAAAAGTAATTTAAAGAAAAAGTTGACAGACAGACTTATGACAGACACTTCACTATACCATAATATTATGACAGTTTGTACCAGAGGAGCTCTTAAGTGTATCTGAAGTTCATGAACCATGATATTTGTCTTTCCCTCACTTTGACTGTATGGTCAAATCAGAAAAATCACAACAATTATCAATCACTAGTAACAGTATACATGTCATTGGTCAATGCTCTTTTTAATTAATGTCCAACAATATGGTATTTTCATCGTCACATAAACAGCAATGTCTTGTTTTCTCCATTCAAAAGGCTTAGGAATTCCAGAAGGACAAAGCTTTTGCAGTGTCTTACAGGACACTGCATCCTGATGGTAGGTCTGGATTTTCCAAGAAAAGTTGGACACTGTATATTTGATAGTTGTAACTGTATGATATGCTTTTGTGGGAGAATAGCAATATATACTCTGCGAGGTCACCCATTCAACGTTTGAAATTTGACTAAAAGTTGGTTCATACTAAACCTACAATAAAACATAATATACAATGTACCTTGAATACATCAGCATCATTTCATAGAAGAAACATATGTTTTAAGTATATATACAGATCCCACTATGGAACTTTCGAAACTGTGTTTATGATAATATGACTAATTTATTATAAATACACCTAATTTTGAATATACTTAAGCTAACCACCTGTTTCAGGACTGTCAGTCACTGGTAGTGAATTACAAAGCAAGTTTCCATCTCATGGTTTGCATGTCTTTAGAAAGCTTCTGTTGTTGTGTCTCGAGGATGTCGCTAAATAAAGAGGACAATTCAAATAACAAGTTAAAACTATGACGGGTTATCCATATAAATCTTGACATTCCATTTAGGTAACTAAACAAAATATTAAATTCTTTTGTTGATCAGCATGCCGTTTAATTGTAGTGTGTTTAATATGTCTTTGTATTAAATGTCACCTAAGTGACAGGCATCTGGTTTCAAAAGCATATCCGATGGTCAGTTTACTGGAAGTAGTAAACTGATGGCTGAATGATTGCATAATTATAAAGTCTATACTTTTATGGTGCTTAATTACTGAATCAATAGACAGAGTTGTTAACTATACATTAGGTTTCCTGCTTCAGTATTTTACATAATTAACTATAACATCAATCATATAATAAATATTGAGCCAAACAAGAAATGTTGTTTGTTTCCAGTTACCCTCCCTAATGATTTGTGC